ACAGATTTCTCGAACAAGAATCGCATTCTGAGAGAGGTGCTTGGAGAGTGCTGTAGAATAATAATTATTCAATTACAGCAGAATAAAGCACTACTTTCCAAGCCAACAACTGTTTAGTTTTATTATTTATCTTCTTTTTCTTTCACTCTCTTTTATTAGATTTCTGTGTTGCTAGAAATAACACATGCTATTTAAACGACGCTTGCATGTTTTATTCTGTGAGACCATGGGCGTCACTAAAGCAAAAGGCTAGAGACCACAATGCTACGTTTTAAAAGTCGGGACAAAAATATCACACAAAATACAAGTTGGGGACCTCCATTGCTATTTGCCCTTTGAGCTATTACTTACTAATAATTAGTCTATTTGTAGACTTTTGGTGTACGTAATCGTTTGGTGAGGATTTCCTCTCAATGGCGGGATTCACTCTACAATCCCCTGTCCATATTACGATAAAGCGAATAATTAACCATTTTATCAAAATCCAAGATGAACACGAGTGTTAGTATAATTTATCCCAACATTTTTCTTTAAGTGGCTGTCGCTAATTGGTAATAGCCTTTATGTGCCCCGTTGTCATGTACTTCACTTACAACTTTAGATACGACTCGGTTTTATTAACAATTACTGAAAATGCCTAAAGAAGCTGCAGACTAATTAATTTCTTTTCCACTCAATGTCCGATGCTCACCTTCAATGGTCTTGGACAAAAGTGAGAGAGATGTTGCACTGCTTCATGTATTTAAACTTGGACATTGGAAATGCGCCCAAATGTCTCAATGACAACAAACTAAACATTGTTATCAATAACTCTGTTATGTTCGATTCATTTCTAGATCTAAGATACAATCATACATAGTAACTAGATGCAAATGTAACGACGTCACAGCAACATCAAATAGAAGATACAGTTTGGCATTGGATGGTAGAGTCGATGTCCAAGTGAAATAACTATCACAACAATGACGAACACATAATAACAACAATAAAGGGTAATTAGCACAAAACGTCCATACCTTTCATGATTTTTGTGGAAAACGTCCCTATCTTTCGTTTTTTGGCGCATTTCATCCCTACCTTTACCTTTTCCTGCGGAAAACATCATTTTTCTCAATAAAAAGTTATAAAATGACTAATATGCCTTTCTATTTAAATAAAAAAAATAAAGAACTAATTGCAATTACAGTTCCAATTTTTAAAAAAGTTCAAAAGCGGAGGTGGAGGTGGAGAATTTTTTTATTTGGAACTACGGTTGTATTTAGTTCTTTATTTTGTTTTATTTAAATAGAAGGGTATATTAGTCATTTTATAACTTTTTATTGAGAAAAATAATGAAAATGATGTTTTGCACAAAAAAAGGTAAACATAGGGATGAAATGCGCCAAAAAACAAAAAGTAGGGACGTTTTCCACAAAATCATGAAAGGTAAGGACGTTTTGTGCTAATTACCCCAACAATAAACAACAGAATTCTGGACAGGAATTTAAACTAGGAAAGAGAACCCTAGAATTCAGGAGGCAACTTCTAAGGTTGAATAACAAATCAGCTGCTGTCTATCCAAATGAATTGCATTCATTCTTGATCACTGCAAGTAACAATAATGGAATTGATTTAACAACAAAGGAAATAACAAAGAAGTTAAGGACATCGTAAACCAAGTTGCCAAACATGAAAAGCAAATAACGCACACCTCTGCGTCTTCACCTCCCGCCTTTATAGAGCCATCTGCCTTTTGTCCTTCGTCTGATCAAAAAAGCAAAGCAAAACAAATTACTAAAGCTAATAACGACAAAAGCAATCAGCAAATTTACAAAGCCTAATCTTGGGAAACCCCATAAATGAATTATGAAACAAAGGCTCTAGATAAGGTTGTTCAAAACAAATATTATATTGGTTAACTTTTCAAAGACACAGCAAACTGTTTCACAGTTGATAACCTAATAAGTTCTCATATAGAAAACCAATGGTAGTGGATAAGGTAAAAATTATGGTAAATGTGATTTCGGGCAAGATAGCAATGAGAATAACATCAATGAGCAAAAAAGACCTTGAGGAAAAGATGGAGAAACTAGACAAATAGAGGTCATAAGCAATATAAAAGTTCTGCAAATGCCGAATATTTCTATCATACACATAAAGTTCTGTATGATTCCAAGACAAAGTCATCTTATGGCATAATTATTCATAAATTAACCAAACAAGAGGTACAAAACTAAGCAATAAAAAATATTTTCAAGAAGAACAATCTGGCATCACAATCTTAGCAATAAGAAGAGAAATTGCCTCCGTCCTCTGGAATGTCACAAGTCCAAAGGGTGAGATTGTCCCTAAGAAGCTGCATAATTAATGTACTATCCTTGTAAGATTCTTCACTCAATGTATCCAACTCAGAAATAGCTTCATCAAACGCCTTCTTAGCAAGGTGGCAAGCCCTGTAAACGAAGCAACACGTCAAGTCACTTCTTACGGATTTCCAGAAAAGAGAAAGGATCTACCAACGCAATTGAGATAGCCATAAAATCTTGTGTACCTTTCTGGAGAGTTCATGATTTCGTAATAGAAAACAGAGAAGTTCAATGCCAAACCTATACGGATGGGATGTGTAGGTGCTAAATCAGCCTCTGCCGAGGTAGTGGCAGCCTGAAATTAAGTGATAAATAAAGAAGCAGATACAAAATGTCATGAAGATTAAATTCTTCTCCTGCATCAACAATCCATCGTGTAGAGATATAGCCCCTTCCCCTGAAAGGTATCAATCCCATGTACCATATGATTGTCAATTTATATAGACACCTAGATCAAATATTATCCCACATTTGCTAACTAAAATTTCTCATCAACCAGAATACTAGCTTTGAAAAAAAAAAAAATATTTAACAACGAACGAGGAAGAAGGATGAAGAACAATGAAGAAGGCAAATAACCACGAAGAACCTCATCCTGCAAAAATTATATACATTTGGAAGAAGAGAACACATTTCACTAACCCAAATTACATAAAATAAAATCACAAATTAATTCCTGCAGGGTGCATTGGTA